TGAATACATATATTAATTCTCATGGTTTCCTTCTTGCACTCAAGAGGAACATCTTGGGAAGCACATCTCTGTCCCTACTTACAGGATGAACTAGAATAATTCTGTCTTTTATTAATTGGTAAATTCCTTAAGCTTTGTGAGATCCTTTCTTCTCTCATTTGGATGGAATATCCCTAATGATTTCTCCATTGCTGCAATTACAGCACATTTTACTTTAGTTTGTTAATGGTTTATCTCCTGAATAAGTGTCCCATCTACCAAAACAGATGGTAAGTTTTCGAGGGCAAGGACTATGTCTTGTTCTTCTGCTAATGACTCAATGCAAATGGTGTCTTGCGTTTAACAGGTATTCAACAGTAATTTGTGAGGACCACCGACTTGCAAGGTTTTCTCCTGGAATAATCAGGATGCCAGGGCAGCTCCTGAGTGAACCCTTGAAGAGGTCAGGACCTCTGCAAAGGCAGTTCATTCATCATGAATGAAGGGAAACAGCTCTTATTCCATTGCCTGGCATCCAGCATGTAAAATGGCTTCTCGTTACATGGATTGCTGCTAGCTCTGTGCACTTATTTAAAGTTTCAATCATTTGAAAAATATTTATTGAATACCTATGATTTGCCAGTCACATGATTTTCCCCTTTGCTCCTGTCTCATTAAAACAAAGTTACAAAACAAACAAAACAAAAAACTCAGCCTCAGAGCTTCTCTATAAAATAGACAGACACAAACTAAAAAGAAATATGGCATAAATCTCAGGAGGTAAAGTTCTCAAAGGGAAACTAAACCATCTGTCCATGAGCTTCTTAGATCTCCTTACAGCATCACCAAGGGAATTACCAGCATTTTCTTCAAACCGGGTCCCTGCTGTTCCCACACTGTCCATCCAAACTTTGGGCAGCTGTGAATTAATAAGCAATTATCTTCATATTGAGGCAGCACCTGTGTTCCTGTGGCTTCTACACTTTTTGGAACATAGAAGTGTTCACATGTTTCCTTTACAAATTTTGGACCACATCTGATATTTGCACTGAGTAGTTTCTTTCCATATTAAACATTTATGTTTTCTTAACCATTTATTATATTTATACTGCAATTTTGATTCCCCTCTCTACTGTGCACTTCGAACAGTTTCCAGTTGGCTTATATTTCTCTAAAAATATACTTTTAGAACTTAACAATACACCTCAGATGTAGCCTGACCTATTAGTAAACAACAAGGCAACAATGAGGAAACTGGGTCTGGGTGAGAGGGAAGGTATTAGACCCGGAGAAACTGGAAAATCTCTTCAGTCCACAGAGATATGGAGGTCATTGACTTATGGTCTCTTCTGTTGGAGGTAGGAGAGCAGAAGGTTAAATCATGGATTTCCCTTTTTTCTTTTAAGAGTCTCCTAATTTATGCAGAAGAAGTATGATTGTCTTGGCTGGGCTGTATTCTTTGTCAAATTTTAATATGAAAAGCATTGATTTTCTTCCTTACTCCAACGACTTTATTTTGGGCTGATTTTTCTCTGATATTTCTAAAATGAATGTAATCTACATTTGCGTCTGATGTTTACAAAGAGCTTTCTCATTATTTTACTTGAGTCATTTCTTGGGAAATGTCTCCTGGGAAGTCAGTGACATTTACAGACTTCCGATATTTATAAACAGTTTATTGGGAAGAGCAGTAAGCACTCTTAGAGAAGCACCTGGAATCTCAGATTGAAGCCCCTTGACATCACTGCGGGCTAGATCTTCAGTGCCCTTGTGTTGTGATGCGCATGTCTGAGCAGTAGTCACACAAGAAGGAGTGAAGAGAGGCACCTCTTGGAGGGCAGGGACTCTGGAGGAGAGCAGAGACCTCAACCTGCAGCATTTTGGGAACGTGCCCCACTGGCTCACACACCTCACATCTGAGTCATCTCCAAATCAGGCAGCACTGCATTCATTTTACAGTGGGTTAGGGAAGCAGTTCATGTGATTTTTCTGTGAACTTGATGATTCTTTCAATAGAAATTGGAGAGTTGGGCAGAATTGTCAGAATGTGGTCCATACCAGGAAGGTAGAGTAAGTTGATAAGAAAAAAAGCCAAGTTTTCATCAGATTATCTGCACATAAACCAATAATGGCATAGAAATGAGCAAGAGATGCTAGAGAAGGTGAATAATCATTGCATGTTAGAGGTGGTTTAGAGACAATTATCTAGGGGCTGTTTTGGTTAAGTGGTACATACATGCGAGGTCAGCATTTGGGATCCACTCAATTAACAAAACTATCTCTAAAGTTCTACTTGGCTCATTCAAGTATATGATTGTATAATTTTACTATGATAATAGGACTACTTTCCATTATAAGGCTTTTAAAAAGTTAGTGATGAAAATTGATATTCTCAGTGTGATTTAGTAGAAAGAATACCTCTGAAGTCAGAAAAGTGTGAGTTAAAATCTTCGTTCTATTTCTTTAGGGATGACTTGAGGAAATTGTTTAATTTTCCTAAACTCTAGTTTCCTCTAAAATGTGGAATGTTAGGAAGAGCAGATGTGTCAAAAAATGCAAAGGGCTTAACATTATGCTCAGAGTAGGCATTTGATGAATAATTTCCTCATTAATCTCATAAATCAAAGCATACAAACAGAATAGCTATTGAAGCTATGTTGTTCAATTCCGAAAGCTCAGTTGATGCCCTAGAAACCCTTTGGGTGTGCACAGCATTTTGTGGAGGCCCTTGACTGCTTCCCTACCTCTTCAGCAGTTAAGGAGCAGTTCTTTAATTAGAAGCAAACAAGAGGCTGAACTGTCCTACTTTTCAAGAAGAAGAAGAATAAGGCTCCCGCATCAGTCCTGCTACTACAAATGGATTCTCATAAGTTCCAACCATAGCATAAATTCAGAGGAAAACTTTCTTCCTTCTATAACTAAGCATAGCTAATTAATAAATATGGTTAGTTCCTCCCATGAGCACCCTTAGGGGGAAACCACTGAACAATCAGTCATTTCTAGAGTAAGATTAAAAAATAAGTCTCCTAAAGGTTTTGTTCATTTGTAACTCTTGAGATTAATTGTTAAATGATTGAAGGCAAACAATATCTGTGCCACTTGCGCTATCTAGACATAATCTTGCGAGCTGTGTGTGCTGCATTTGCAGAGGATAGAGAAGTAGAGATTGAATAATTACTTGAAAAACTTTATTAGGACACTAAAGCCTATACTGGACTATTGTTTTAGTGGGACTTATTTGTCTTTCTACATTGATCAAAATACAGTATAGATATGCTCATATGTACATTTAGGGCAGACATACATCTTTGCCTGAGTGGCAGGACAACAGTAAACCTGTGTCAGGAGTCTGGATGTTTGATTTTCCTCTCCAGGTCTCCTCTCCATCCTACTCTTTGCCCAGCCGGCTGACTTCTACACACTGCATCCACTGGTCTCCCTGGTCCTTTTGCTTCTGGTTGGGTTTGGCCCAGTGAGAGGCATCGGCAGGAGAGAGTGGTCAAGATGTTTACATTCCAAGGTCCTTTCTTTCCTGTACTGAAGTCCACAGGTCCTTTGGGTGCTATTCTCTCTCAGTTACAGGTCTCCCCAGGCTAGGATAACTTCTTCCCCTGCTGTCCCTTCTGGCCAAGGAGTGGTGAAGTCTTCTGGCTGTTGCTAGCCCCAGGCTGCTTTGCTGTCTCTTGTAGGTTTCCCTTAATTCTGCCCACACATTCAAAATATTCCTTTCATTCAGCTTTTTTTTCCAATCATCCTCTTGAAGTGGTTGCCAGGAACCTCAATGATTCAACATTAACACCCATCTTAAGCTCTAGGCAAAGAGAGAAGAAATTTTTTGTATGTTTCCATTCATCGCAGGTCTCTTGGGGCTTGAAGATGAGGATTTAAAGATAATTTCCCTATTCCAAAGAAAGACATTATCATAGGGTCAAGGTTTCAATGATTAAAGCATGAGATCCTTAGCAAAGCTTTCAGAAACAGCTACATTCTGCTTTTTTTCTGATTCAAAGCAAAGAGATTTTCTATCCTCTTTTCAAAATATATGGCTTATTAGAACCTATTTAAAGGAAAAATAAGGCAAATCAGAGGAACGATGTCTTTCTATTGACACTTGCTTGTTTCCTTTAAATTCAAATCTATTGAATAATCACTCTGCTGCTACTGTGGCATTTTTTAGTACAAAACTTACCCCGGTCTTCCACTTAAAATGAGCCCTTTATCATCATAATAATACCTCAAACTTCGTTAACCATCAATTTTTGCTCAACATGCACTTCGTTTGAGTTCTTTTTTAAGTAGCTTCTCCATGTGGAAAATCTCTAGTTTTGCAACTCCTTCACAGAGGGTTTTTTTTTGCTTTATAATCTACTGTTTACTAGGGCAAATGTGCCAAGAGGTTTTTATAACACCATACCTTCCTTTTCTTTCTTTACAAATGTTTCAAGAGAAGGTTAAAGTTCTTTTTGTGTGAATCTTTAACTAAAGATCATTGTGGGGAGGGGGTCCCAACAGGCCCAACCTAGAGAAACCCCTGAGTTATCTTTTGGTCAAAGAGATTTACACAGAAGCCAGCCCTAAATTATTTCTAAAGAGCAGAACAAGGTTCTCCTTCTTTCTTATCACTTCTCTTCTCTTGCCTTACTCTTTTCTCTTATTTTGCCTTTTCTTATCTCACATTTTAATGTTTCTTCCCCTCTTCACCCAAACCTATGCTCTCTCCTTCTTTTTCAATTTATTTTCCTATCCTATTAAAAATTTCTATTTCCCTTCTTTCTGTCTCTATATTATCTTGAGAGCACAAACCATCTAAAGCTTCAGCCATTCAGCATGCGTTTTTTTCCACTTTGATTCACAAACTCCTGTTTCTTCTACTTGATGCCAAATTCCCCCTCTGTCCCTCATGGAAAATGTAAACATCCAGAGATCTGGTCTTGTGATAAAATAAGACCTGGAAGCACTGGCTACTTGATAGGAAAGTCACCCGGTTCTGTGTGTGGGCTCTAGGGGGTGCTGCAGTGTGCGCCTTGTCCTGGGTGCAAGAGGAGCCGCAGTCTTGCTCCCCACAGAGCTCTGAGAAGCCTGAACCAAGATCTTGATCAACAGAGAGAAGACACAGGTGCCAGGAAGCCCCAGGTTCCCTGAACAAGGGCCATTTCTAAAAACACCTGCTAACACAGGGGTGCTGGTTCCTTTTTGAAAGCCCACTTGCTGGGGTGGGGCCATACCTCCCACTGAGGTAGGCTAGAAAGGAGCCCTGAGACAGCTCAGCTTAAGCCATGGCCTCTGTACGCATCTCAACACTGGTGATTCTCTTCACACTGGGTGAGTAATACTCCCTTCCTGTTCTCCACTTGTATTCCCTTACATTCTTTTCAGTAGCTTTGCTGATGCAGCATGGATTAATTTACAGGTGGACTGAGAGCTCAGTCGGTGACTCAACCGGATGATCTGGTCACTATCACCGAAGGGAATCCACTGACTGTGAAATGCACCTATTCAATTTCTGGGAGCCCTTATCTCTTTTGGTACGTCCAATATCCGAACCAAGGTCTCCAGTTTCTTCTGAGATACATCTCAGGGGACAACCTGGTTAAAGGAAGCTATGGTTTTGAGGCTGAATTTAATAAGAGCCAAACCTCTTTCCACCTGAAGAAACCATCTGTCCTCGGGAGTGACTCTGCTGTGTACTTCTGTGCTGGGAGTGACACAGTGGTGGGGGCTGCAGGGAGGGCTGAACACAAATAGTACAGTTTGTGAGGACAGTAAAAACCATTTTCCTGAAGCCTTTATGTCCCTCCACAAGAGGGTGGCGAGGTTCCAGGTTATGTCGCTGACTATACCTAAATTACAACTTAAAGTCACGGAATTTGTTCATTTGACAAATATTTATTGAATCCTATGTGCCAGGTACTGTCTTAAGCACTGATCATAAAGAGGTGAAAGAAGTGATCCTTGATCTCTATGTGCCAGGAGTGATCCAAAACATTTACAAAACCGTTAAATTCTCACATCTATTATCATGAGCTTCATTATTTAGATGAAGGAACTAAGGCACAGAGAATTTAAGTATCGCACTCAAGTCGCAAAACTATTAAATGGCAAATTGAAACCCAGGCAGTCTGCCTCTCGGGTGTGTGTTCTAACCACTCTACTTCTTTGCCAGCCTGTAGGCTCCTTGTGGCACGAGACTGCGATTTCAGTGATGGTGTAGCCCAACTCTTCATATGGTCACTGTCAAAAAAAAGTGTTGGTTGTAGGAATGAACAGTAAATTAGCAACTCAAAACAGTTTTGTAAGCGCTAAGATGGAGGATTGCACAAATGCTATGCGCGATGAGGAAGTAGAGGTAGCTTAGCTGTGAAGGAAGGAGAGGGAGAATGCGTAATGGAAGGAGAATTTGAATCAAGGGAAGATTTAAACATAGTTCTAAATATGACTGCTTACAGCTTCTGTGCTCACATCTTATGTACACCCTTGAGAGGGACTGGACTTGATGCTCCTCCTTCCCTCCCCAACTCTCTCTCTCTCCCTCCCTCCCCCTCCTTCCCTCCTTCCTCCCTCTCTCTCTCTCCTCCAGGTGTCTATCTCCCTCCCTCTGTATCTCTCTCTCTTCAATTTCGAATATCCTGGGAGGGGCTCTGGTTGACTCCATGTGAGTCAGGTGCTCTTCCCCGGACTAACCAGTGGTGGCCATGGGTGTGCGCTGCTGGGATTAGCCCAGCTAGGCTTGCACATTTGGCCAGTTAATGGTGGCTGGGGGGATGATTCTGCAAGAAGGTAGAAGCTCCGTTTTGAACCACGTGGTTCAAAGGAGTATGTCTGAAAAGAAATTAATTTTTGCATAAGGACTTATATTTATTTATTTTTTCCAAATGGATAGCCAATAGTAGGAACACCACTTATTCAAAAATTCACTCTTGCCCCATAGATTTGGAATACTACATTTATAGTATACTAAATTCCCCTGTCTTCCTGGATCCATTTTTGAACTCTCCATTCTTGTAGTTCTGTGCTGGAATGTGCTGCTTCAGGGAGAGTCACCCTCCAGCCTCTGGCTTACACCCTGTGATCTTCTCTCCTTCTTTTCCTATCCCTAAGTCCGTCACATACCTTGAGGGGATTTACACATAAGGATGTGGACACCTTAGTCTACATGCCTATGATCCCTGCAAGCAGCCATCTCTTGGCCATTCCTTGGTCCTAGGGCTGTGTACACTGGTGGGATGTCTGCTTTTGGGAAGACAGTCCTTTGAAGAGGCCTATGCAGATCTGGGAACATGTGTGCAGGGAATTCAGGGATCTTGGGTACGCAGAGTATGGTCTAGAAGAAGTATTTAGACTCCAGAGGGCCATGTGCCCTTGGCCCTGTGGATTTCTCATAGAAAGTATGGTGGGAGGAGCTGGAGGAAGGCCAGGGTGGAGCCTTTTAAAGAGCACGACTACAACAGGGATGTTGCTTGCTCAGGTCTAAGAGTGGCAGTGTTGTATACCATTATTGCCCCAATACGTTTGTGTTCATAAAACCACGGGCCCCATTTTAGATTTAAATACATAGTTTCCATACTTCTAGGTAAGCCCTTAGCCTCCATCACTGTTTTTCTCCAAAGTAAGTTCATCCCCAGAAGGATATTCTCAGCATACTACACCGTCAACCTTGCAACCTGGTCTGCTTCTGACTTCGATACTTTTAAGTAGGTTTTATGCAAGTCCTACAAGTGAAAGAAGGACATTTACACAATTACAACTCGTTCATTCATTTACCTATTCGTTCAACAATTATTTGTAGCATTCCCACTATGTGACAGGCATTGTTCTTGTCATTGGGAATACAATGGTGAACGAACTCTTTCCATCCACTCATTGCCCAGATTTTAAAACTATAATACCATTTCCTTACTCAAATGGAATTATTTTTTAGTCAAAGACACACAACTCTCAAGGATATTTCCTTATCAGGAAGACTCTCCAAGGTCAGACTAGCCCTCAGATGTTTGTCTTCATCAGGTGGTATGATGGGAGGGGAGTCACATAGAAAAGTGAGAATCTAATTTTCCCCATTTTTGAGGTGTCTGGGAGGCAACAACTATGTTTCCTTAGAAGTTCTATTTTGGGGCCGGCCCCATGGCCAAGTGGTTAGATTTGTGCACTCTGTTTGGGCGGCCTGGGGTTTGCCGGTTTGGGTCATGGGCGTGGACCTAACACTGCTTGTCAGGACATGCTGAGGCAGTGTCCCACATAGCAGAACTAGAAGAATCTGCAACTAGGACATACAACTATGTACTAGGGGGTTTTGGGGAGAAAAAACAAAAGAGGAAGATTGGCAACAGAGGTTAGCTCTGGGCCAATCTTTTTCACACACACACAAAAAGAAAAGAAATCCTTTAAAAAAAGTTCTGTTTTGTCATGTGGTCCTAGCAATTAGCCCGTTTCATTTTGTGAGGAAGGTTAACCTAGCATTCTTCTTTCCTCTGCTTATTGGAAAATATTCCTTATAACCAGGTAACCTTTAGGCAGAACAAGAGATCCAATACAGATTCTTTTCATAATATTAATTTTTTATCCCCCTTTTAATTTCACTTCAAGAACTCTGGAAAGAGGACTACGTTAAGAATTAGGAAGTGTCATTTGTATTTCCTGATTCTTCTTCTAGGTAACAATGTGCCATTGGATAAGCCATTTATACTCTATGTGCCTCATCTCCTAATTCATAAAAGTGAGATAATTAGAAGGATTGTTGTGAGGATTGTATATGTGAAACTGTGTCTCAGATTCCAAATAAAAGTGGGTGTTGATGATGACATAGTAACCAGATACTTAGGGCACTGCTATAGACTGAATGTTTACGTCCCCCGAAAAGTCAGGCGTTGAAACCTAATCCCAAGTGTGATGATACTAGGAAGTGGGGGCCTTTGGGAGGTGACTAGGTCATGAGGATGAGGCGCTCATTAATGGGATTAGTGTCCTTACAAAAGGGACTCCAGAGAGCTCCCTTGCCCCTTCCTCCATGTGAGGACACAAGAGGAAGATGGTGAACCAGGAATGGGCTCTCACCGGACACTGAATCTGCTGGCACCTTCATCCTGGAGTTTCCAAACGCCAGAACTGCGAGAAATAAACATTTGTTGTTTAAGCCACTCAGTCTATGGTATTTTTGTTCTAGAAGTCCAAATGGACTAAGAAAGTCACCAACACTTGGAGCTCTTATATCTGCTCTGAACTGCTTATATTTGGACTGCAATATGAGAAGATAATAAACTTTTATCTCGTTCAAACTACTTTACCTTGGCCTTCGTCACATCATTTGGACCTGTATTCTAATGCCAGCTTCTATGCCTGAAAACCAATTTTTAGGAAAGAAGCTGGTATTATCTACTTACATTGTGGTTAAATTGGATATAAGCAACAACATTTTTTTCCATTACTTGTGGCATCAGTTATTGTCCCTAAAATACAATTTTCAGCATATTAGAGAAGGCATGGGTAGAGAAACATTTTTGGGGGCAGAAAAGTTGTCCTGGTTTCCCTGAGAACACTGGTTGTAGGTAGTCACCTGCTCCATCCGTGTGAGAACTTGCCTCTGCCTGGATGCTAGGGGCACACCTTCCCTCGAGAGGGACCACCCTCCACAGGACCATCTTATGCTCCATTTGGTTCTCCCTCCTCTGATCTTTTTCCGATTGCATAGTGAGTTTCACTGCATTCTCTGCAAGAATCCAGAAGCACCTCAAATTAAATGGTGCAAAGCTTAGCTTTTCATCTTTTTTTTTTTTTTTGAGGAAGATTAGCCCTGAGCTAACATCCTCTGCCAATCCTCCTCTTTTTTGCTGAGGAAGACTGGCCCTGGGCTAACATCTGTGCCCATCTTCCTCTACTTTATATGTGGGATGCCTGCCACAGCTTGGCTTTGCCAAGTGGTGCCACGTCCGCACTCGGGATCTGAACTAGTGAACCCTGGGCCACCGAAGCAGAATGTGTGAACTTAACCGCTGTGCCACCGGGCCAGCTCCAGCTCTTCAGCTTTTTCCCCTCTCATGACAAAATGAAACAAAACGAGACAAGCCAAACTCGCTCCTTCTTTTTTTGTTTTCTATATCAAACAACGGCACCACCACCTACCCAAGTGTCATCCGCTCTCTTGCTTCCAGGTCTGTCCAGAAGTTGTTCTTTTTGCCTCTTCCTACTTCCTATTTCTTCCTACTTGGCTCAGGTTCATCCTTTACTAGGTTCATTCTCCTCTTCCCTTAGGTTTTAGTTCAGGCATCACTCCGACTGGGAAATTTTCCTGAAACCCTACAACCAAAGCAGTTTCTCTTCCTGTTTGTTCCTATAGTACTGTGTACTTTTCCTATCACAGCAGTTATCAGAGGACTATCACTGCTTTTACAATTCTCTTCCTTATCACTAGACCACTGGGTCTCTCTCCTCATTGAATGCCCAGCGTCTAGCTCAGTGCCTGACCCAAGCAGGGACTCCACAAATACTGTTTGATTGAGAAAATTGATACTTACCGAGGGTCTTAAAATTTTCTTACTCTTTAATCCAGGAAATCCCCTTTATAGAAGCTAGTCTAAAGAAATAATTGAAAATTTAGACAAAGATTTATGTACAAAGGTGGTTACCATAGTATTCTTTCTAAAATCCAAATATTTAATACTAGGAAAATTGATGATTAAATTATAGTACATTTCCATCATGGAATATTTTGAGGCCATTAGAATTAAAATTTTATATATATTTATTGACAGGCAAAAATGTTTGGGAAATTACATTAAGTTAAAAAAACAGGCGGGCCGGTCCCGTGGCAGAGTGGTTAAGTTCACGTGCTCCGCTTCTGCGGCCCAGGGTTCAGATCCTGGGCGCGGACATGGCACTGCTCGTCAGGCCACGTTGAGGTGGCGTCCCACGTGCCACAACTAGAAGGACCCACAACTAGAATATACAACTATGTACTAAGGGGATTTGGGGAGAAAAAAGCAGAAAACAAAAAAAAGAAGATTGGCAACAGTTGTTATCTCAGGTGCCAATCTTTAAAAAAAAAGCACGGAGTATCCAAATGTGTGTGTGTGTGCACATACCATCCAATTTTGTTGAAAATTTTTATGCATAGACAAAAGACTGAAAAGAAATATACCCAAATATTATTCAATGATATTTCTGGGAGATGGTGTTACACATGATTTTTATATTGTATACCTTTTCATATTTTTCAAATTTTGTATCTAGAATTCATTATTTTAATAATCAGAAAAAACCCACTTTTAAAAAATTTAAAATGTTCCTCTGGTTGGTGGCGCTTGCCATCAGGCGTGGTTTTCTTTCTCAACCTCAGGAATTTCTAAGATTTGCTTTAACAATTGTTTTAATTTATTATTATTACCATATATGGGTATATAACAAATAACATTAATGCATCTCATACACTTCTGCATTTATCCAGATATTTTGAGCACAAAAAATGTTTTTCAAAGGAGTACATATATAATATAAAATTATTAGCAGCATGTGTTACTTTGCTAGGGCTTCTCTAACAAAATACTACAAGCTAGGTGACTAAAGTCCAAGGAGGCTTCAAGTCCGAGATCAGAGTGTCAGCAGGGCTGGTTCAATCTGAAGGCTGTGAGGCAAGAATCTCCTCCAGGCCTCTCTCCCTGGCTTGTATGTGGCCATCTTCTCTCTGTGTCTCTTCACGTTGTTTCCCCTTTATTCATGTCTGTCTCTGTGTCCAAATTTCACTTTTTTATCAGGACATCAGTTATGTTGGATTAGAGTCCACCCAAATAACCTCATTTTAACTTGATTACTTCTGTAAAGACCTATCTCTAAACAAGGTCACATTCTGAGGTAGTAGAGATTAGGACACTAACATATCTTTTTTGGGGCGAGGCAGGGACACAATTCAACCTGTAACACCACAACCACTAATGATTACTTTCATTCCAAAGGCTGAGACATAGAAAAATTTTTGGTGTTTCTTTCTCTAGTTGCTTTATGTCCAGTAATATTCTCCTAGGTGAGATAATAGATGTTGACAAAGAAACATCAAGTTCCATTGGTTGGCCTGAAAAGGTGAGATCATTTTGGTTTTGTGATATTTCCTATTTTAAACATAGTTTGTATTTGTACAGAACACTGTGGTTTAGAAAGAACTTTCTTATGCTCATTTAATCGAGCCCTGTAATCTCTCTTATAGAGATGAAGAAACTGTGCCTCTCAGAGGTGATTTGCACAAAATTGTACAACTAGCAAGTCCAGAGAATTGTTTATAATCCAGTTTGACTAACTCCTCATTCAGTGTTTCTTCCATTCCATAAAATAGACTCCACGCTCCACGTGACCAAGCCAGACTACCCGCTACTGCATTTAGCAAAGAACTATCATGTTCCATAAGTTGCATGGGTCTGAGAACTATTCACTTTTGTGAAACATCTTCTGTCCAAGTATATTTACCACAAGGGGACACTGTTGCAATGGGTTGAGTCTAAAGTATAACCCCTTCACATTTTATTTCTGTACAAAGTGTCCTAGCATCTTCAGCTCCCTCATAAATACTTCCTTTCTCCTCCACTTGAATACTGAGGGCAAGCTGGTTATTTATTCCATGGCTTGTGATATCTACTCTGTCAAAATGTTACTAAAAGTCATCAGCACTCACTGACATTTTGCATGTGCAACTGGAAAAACTGCTCACCCAGAATACCTTAGATAATTCTAGACCTAGAAGAGGCACCTCCCGAATATTTTCTAGTGATTTTACATTCCCATATTATTGTACAAAGACCTCAAACAACACGCCACTATCTTTTCCACATTAATGTGAGTATCTAACATGTTTTAATTGCTGCAGTTGGCTGATTCGATTAACATTATGATGTCTTTTGGATTTGGCTCTTTTCCTTAGTGGCTGTTATTAAAAATTTTTCTTTGGTGTTACTGTTATTGAGTTCATATTGGGTATTTCTTGAAGGAAGAGTGAATGGTATTTAAAAAAATCACATATATAATTCTGCACAATTGCTTTCTACTGGTCATGGTAAAGGGCATGTGATTCAGATGAGAAGGAAGGGGATGAGAAGAAACTACAGCTTTGTGCCATAGGCTGACTCTGAAGTAGGAATTATTGTTCCTATTCTATGAATGAAGAAACTGAGGCTCAGATGAATGAGTTGCTCAGTGTCACGATGTGGCAGAGCTGGGATTTGGATTTAGGTCTGTCTAAATCTGAACTTGTGCTTTTTCTTCTTCATCTCACTTCCTCCCTGGTTAGGTGAATGATTCTATAACACATATATCTTACCCTAGCTGGTCAGTAGGGACTAGTGAGGGATCTGCCCCTCATTTCAACATTTGTTAAGTGAGATCTGAGAAGCAAATGTTAGATGTGGACTTAGTGAGAGTGTAAAAGGACACCAGGGTGTCCAGAGATGAAAGGTCCAGTGCAGATGGCTTCATTTTTTGTTTTGTGGAATATGAGTAGGATTCCTTGTTTTCATCTGGCTACATAGACTTAATGGGGAATTTCTGGGCCTAATGTACCAGGTCAGAGGGGTTATTCTCAGAGCTCCATGAGTCTCAGAATGACTACAATAGATGGCTACTTTCTGGGACTGTGGAAAAGTGATGGGAAGTAGGGAGCCTGATGGAATCTACCCTCTCATGTATTTGCTTCATTCAGACCTGATCTACAAGGGGCTAGACGTTAGCAAAGATTTAGAAGGAAATCTTGGCTACTATGCTGTTGTGGTGGAAGTTTTTCCCCCTATTCTTCCTGAGTGCTCAATTAAAGCTTGAGCCCATTGGCTTCCTCCCTGCTATTGGCTGGCTCCTGAGGACAGCAGGGGTGAGAGCTGCTAGTGTGGGTTCTGGCAGGCACTGCAGTGTCTCTTCCCTGGTTAGTATCCTGGTCCAGACTCAGACTCAGCCACAGAGCCTAGATCCTGGGTCCTGGTTTACACCTAGAATATGAGGCAAGTGACAAGAGTGACTGTGCTCCTGATCTTGGGTGAGTTATTTTGGGATTACAAAGAATGGGATCCTGTCTAGACAAGGATCTACAATCTTGCCTGCTCTGATTGTTTTTTTCCAAGAGGTTGAGGGCTGACTTGGGGATCCTATTTTTCTCCAGGCAGTTATGTGAGGATATCTTAGGGCAGTAAAGATGTTCTGGATTACTGAGCCCCAGGTCCATCCATAGGAGGGAGAAATTAGATCTGCCCCCTCTGTACATGTGTTCCTAGGATTCCTTGGAATAAATATTTAAAGAATTTTGTCCTGAAACATAAATAAGAAATAAATGTTATGTGTCTGTATCTGATGGGGAGGTAGGGTTTGGGGTGAATTTGACTGTGAGACAGAACCTAGAGGGAGCTGAGTTGGACCTTGAATTCACCTTCATTTCAGGATGGGACTAGTTTCATGTTTTTACTCCCACAGGGACTTTGAGCCTCGCTAAGACCACCCAGCCCATCTTCAGTGACTCATATGAAGGACAAGAGGTGAACATAACCTGTAACCACACCGACATTGCTACAAATGAGTACATCCTCTGGTACCGACAGTTCCCCAACCAGGGACCACAATTTGTTATTCAAGGTTTTAACACAAAAGTGGAAAATGAAGTGGCATCTCTGTTCATCCCTGACGACAGGAAGTCCAGCACCCTGAGCCTGCCCCAGGCTACCCTGAGAGACACCGCTGTGTACTACTGCATCGTGAGTGACACACAGTGAGACAGACGGGGCTGCACCTGTGCAGTAACCTCCTGTGGGGTGGGCATCACAGCCCAGGGGAAAGCCCAAAAGTAGTGCTTTCTAAAATGTTAATTTTATTTTTTTTTTATTTTCAGAAGGTATTAGCAAATCCATGGATTATTTTACTGTTTTTAAAAATTTTGATCTTATTTATTTCTTAAATAGGTATTCTACATACATGGTCTAAAATTCGAAATTATAAAAAGGCATACAGTGCAATGTCTTCATGTCACCATTGTCCCTGAGCTGCTCAATTATTCAAAATGAGGCAATCTTGGTATTTATACTATTGTTCCTTAGCTCACTGGTGCCCTAGTTTGTGTGCGTACACACACACACACACACACACACACAATGTACACACATACCACACACACTGCACCCAGTCAGTGTGAACAACATGCTTCCCAGCTTTCGAAAAATTTAGCCCAGCTGTCAGATTATTATTTATTGTCACGTAAATTTTGAACATTTCTTTGGCTGTTTTCAAGCATCTATAAGATGGCTTCTAAGTCTCCTCAGAGTTTAGATCTCTCACTCTCTCTGTTGCCCCTCTTTCGCATTTCTTTTGTCCCACTGCCCTGTAGTGGATGGTTTGGCAAGGAGATTGAAGATTAGGGTAGAGAAGGGGGTGGGGAGAGTTTTTGTTTCTGATTGGTATGATAGACTATTTTTTATAATATCTGAAGAAGAAACAGAGAGTCATTATCTCTTTTCAGAGTTGGGTCCTTTAGGGGCCCAAGGGAGACAGGAATAACGGCAAAGTTCCTGGGAATCTTGCCAGTGCTCCTGTGGCTTCATCAGGACTGTGAGGGCATTTTTGTTATTATTATTATTATTATTTTGATGAGGGGTTGTCTTTGATGTTGGCAATAAGGAAAGCAATATTTGATGATATTTTCTATTGAGACCTATGGGGCTGGACCATGGGAGGGGAGGGTGTTTCCATCTAGTTCATCTTAGGGTTTGGTGGGGGAATAGTAGTATGGAAAAACAAACAATTGTAGAGCATCAGAGCCCATCAACTCACCTCCTTTGGCTGATATCTTTCTAAACTGGGATGAGGAACCTGCTGAAGGTGAAACAGAGCACTGAGTCACTGAGTGTCCAGGACAGAGCCAGCTCTTCTCTCAACTGCACTTAAGAAGACCCACTATTTCCAGTACTTCATGTGGTACAGATAATACCCTGGAAAAAGCCTAGGGTTTCTGATTCTCATACTCTCAAATGGAGAAAACGAGGAAAGAAGATTCACAGCATTTGAACAAAGACAAGGAATACAGCCCCCTTGCACATCACAGATCCGGAGCCTGGAGATTCAGTCACCGACATCTGCACAGCAGGTTCACAGTGATCCCCAAGTCCTTGGAGCCTCTGCCCAAACCAGTGGTGGAGGGTCCAGCCACACGCCTGACCTGAGAGTTGAGGTGGTGGGATAGAGGGGAAGCTCTGTATTGTTTCTATCTACTTATGAAAATAGATACACATATCTGAGAGGCATGTGTGTTTATATAAGGGAGGCATTAGACTAGTCTGTCTAGAGGAATTTCCACTTAAAGGAAATTGTAGATGGAATATTGGCCTGGGTAAATGTTCAAAACGTTCTCTATCCCCATTGGAGTTTTGTCCCACGCTTGTTCATGGTATCTCAGTTGGAGGATATCTTGGCTGTAAGCTAGAGGAAAAGACCCCTGTCTTGGAGATGGGGGAACAAGGAGTACGGTCCAGGTCTTTCAAAGAGTCACTGACTATGAGGAAAAAACACAATTAGGCTTAATTTTAAGTTCTAATGTTATACACAGGAATCCACATGTTGGGTGCTTTGGATGAAAGCCACTGAAGGATGGTATAAAGAACACTGGAATTAGAAGCAGTAAATTCTAATTCTAGTTGTACTTCATCTTTGCTATATGCCCTTGGATAGCAAGACTGAGTGGAAAAAGAATAAGTTTTGGAGCCAGGCATCCCTGGGTATGTATCTGAGATCTGTGACTCTTAAGGGTTTGACCTTGGTCAAATACTTATGGTATCTGAGCTTCAGTACCTTCTCCATAAAGTGGGGATCATAATACTATTTTCCAGCATTATTATGAGGTTAAAATCATATCTCACTAAGGTCCTGCACTTAATCAGAACTCATTAGACCAATGCTATCAGTACCCTGTGCTATCGTTTCTGTATAATGAAGTTATTGAAACTGATCTGCCAACCCTACAAAGCTGTTTGAAGTATGATATAAAATTTTGTGTGTTCAGACTCTTTATAAATTGAAGAAGACCTAAACAAATATAATAACTTTTGGGGGGTCTGGCCTCATGGCCAAGTGGTTAAGTTCACAGGTTCTACTTCGGTGGTCCAAGGTTTCACCGGTTTGGATCCTGGACAGGGATCTAGCACAGCTCAACAAGCCATGTTGAGGTGGCGTCCCACATAGCAGAACTAGAAGGATCTACAACTAGAATATACAGCTATGTACTGGGGAGCTTTGGGGAGAAAGAAAAAAAAAGAACATTGGCAACAGATGTTAGCTCAGGGCCAATCTTTAAAAAAAAGAGAAATTTTCAGGGAGATAAAACTCTTGGTCTTGTTATCTCTGAACAAAAAAATCAATAAATTGATCATCTTTTTCTCTGTAGAAAGATCATATGACTTTTTTGCCAAATGACCCCCAGGGCAAGGCTTTCAAGCACAAGTTGATAAATGATGGCTCATGGAATGATTGGTGACTCTGGACTCCCAGGGGTGGATGAGTAACTCTCTGCCTTCAGGCTGAAGTCAGTCTGTAGGAATGAATGATTACAAAATGTTCAGAGCTTTGTATAATTTCAGAGACAAGGATGAGTTTTGGTCTGGATTTCTGGCAGTCAACAGTCTATCAAAGCACACAGCCCTGTTCTTATTTAGTGATAGGATTTCCATTATAGTGATCAGAAGCAGAAGTATTTATCAAGTACTCATTGGAGGAAGGCTCTGGCTTAGATCTCACCACTGTGCTGAACACATTACAGGCACCTACCCTGCCTTACACAGATGCATTTCCAGACCTGCACATGTACACACACACGTGTGTGTGTGAATTTAAAAATATAGAATATATGGTTGATATTTCCATGTGGTCCCTGCACACAGTGTCTCCAGCAGGGTAGTTTAATTTTTTATATGGCAGCTCCTAAGAGTACAAAAGGAGACCTGATTCTTTTTTTTTTTTCATCCATACAATGAAATGTTTATTCAGCCATACAAAGGAGTGAAGTGCTGATACACCGTACGGTGTGGATGAACCTTGAAAACATTGTGCGAAGCGAAAGAAACCACGCACAAAAGGCCACATATTGTATCATTGCACTCATATGCTATCCAGAGTCGGCAAATCCATGGGGACAGAGAGCAGATTAGTGGCTGCCTGGGAGGAGGGCTGGGAGGAGAAGGCGATGAAAATGTTTTAGAACTAAATAGTGGAGATGCACAATACCATAACTGTACTAAGTGCCACTGAACTGTACACTTAAAAATGGTTAAGATGGTAAATTTTATGCTATGTGAATTTTGCCATAGTTAAAAAAAATCCTTGGGGCCGGTCCCGTGGCCAAGTGGTTGAGTTTGTGCACTCTGCTTCGGCAGATCCCAGGTGCAGACCTAGCACCGTTCGTCAAGCCATGCTGTGGTGGCATCCCACATAAAGCAGAGGAAGATTGGCACAGATGTTGTCTCAGGGCCAATCTTCCTCACACACACACAGAATCCTTGCTGTGTCCTCTAAGCCCACCTCGCCTCAGGCCATTTTCCCTGCGCTCATCGCCACCAATTGTGATGGACTAACTCCTCCTACAGCATCCTGCCACAGGGCTCTGCGAGACCTGATTCTTAAGCTCAGGACTGTACAGCATCACTCTTCCTGCATTCTGATGGATATGTGAATCACGGGGCCAGCCCAGATTCATGGGGAAGGCACTATACAAGGCTGTAATTCATTGAAAGTCACCAGTTTAACAGAGTACTACAATAGTCATTGTAGAAAATCTAGAAAACCATGATGAATGGACAAAGACGGCCAGCCCTGATAGCCTAGTTTGGCGCATTCTGCTTTGGCATCCTGGGTTTGGTCCCTGGGCGTGGAATCACACCACTCATCTGTCAGTGACCATGCTCTGGTGGCAGCTCACATAAAAAAAAAAAGAGGAAGATTGGCATCAGATGTTAGCTCACGGTGAATCTTCCCCAGAAAAAAAAAAAGGACAAAGTAGTAAAAATGCCCCTATATCTCAATATCTTTAGATAATCATAATTTATATTTTGGTGTATTCATTTTTGGAATTGTTCCATAAATTATAAGAATATTAATTATATATAAGTAATAAATTGACCATCTGTGAGACAAGAATCAAAGACCTTTGAGCTAATAATTTCAAAAATCTTGGGTGATTGTCTTTTGAGGGTTAGATCAGATCCTCTGGACGAGTTGATTCTTAAAGTTGGAAATCAATAATAGAGTAGGTGTTATGACTATAACCACAAGTGAATAGTATACTATAATTGCATATCCTTTCTTGTACAGCTTTTCCTTTTTCATAGAGTTTCTAGTCATCTCTTTCCCTCTCCCCCCACTTTTTATACTGATATCAATCTCTCTTCAAATTCCTCATATAAGGTATTTGATCAAATTCCCTTCCTTCCTAGAAGCCATTATTCTCTGGTTCTAATATAATCTGGTTATTTAGTTATATTTCTTTGAGACTGTTAACTAGAATTTTTGTAAGTTTTTTTTCTGTTTACTGAATTGTCTCTGTTATCTTTAGGGTAATTTTAAATTTGTTTCTCTTGATGTTCGTTATTCATATAGTAGACTTTCTCTAAGTTTCTGCTGATCCCTGGCTTACTTTATCATTTAGGAATAAAGTAATTAAAAAAAGCTAATTGGAGATTCATGTAGGTGGCAAGGGCTTATAAGCCTTTTTGCCTGAAAGAAATTGGGCAAAGAG